GTTTCATTTCTACTGCCACACGCGTGCCAATCCAAGGTCTATCAGGGACATGAAATCAGCGGAAATTCCTGAGTTGCAGCCTGAGCATGAGATGTTATATATATATAATACGATCTAAATTTTGTTGACTATGATTCATCACCCAACATATCACAAGAACTTCTCAAGATCTCAGACATGCCTTTTCATTTAGATCGACTTGTACTGCGTTTCCCTTGAGTTTCCCTTTTGCCCGTGGCTCCTGAATCCTTGGTGATTGAAAACAACTCATCCTACTGGCAGTTTTTCTGTCTCTTTTTTCCGGGCAGAGTTTGGTTGTCTCGATCACTGGAGTCTCCAAGGCAAACTGACTCAGTCTGTATACATGAGTGGTATTTCTTTCAGGCTAAGTGCCAAGGAGGCCCAAGGAGGCCCAAGGTGTGACCGCCTTTGAGGTGGCTGGAGTTTCATGCCCAAGGTGGGGCACGCAATCGACCTGGGGGTGGCGGCTATCCCAGTCGCTACAACCAAATCAGAAGACCGGAGATGGACGAGTCTCGCTTCAATCCAGGCGAGACCGGGCAAGACTGAGTACCGAGTCACCGATCCGGGCGGAAAGAGTTTTCTTCCATGTAACGCTTTTGGCGTCAAAGTCACTCAAAGTTCCGACAGTTTGTTGCAGTGTGGCCGGCGAAAATGTCAGCTTGGCAGGCTACGCCAGACCACGTCCCCAAGTAGGATCTCCTCGACGCGCGGGAGAACCCAGCAGAGGCATATGGCATCCGGCATAAGCACTTCATCCAGAACTGTGGGCAAAGGTGTGTTGGTTCAAGAAGCGCGCCAAGGTAGATACCACTTCACCATCCAGAGGCACTCGGCAATAGTTTGCATCATCTGCCCAAATGCCCGCGCCGTGCCGACGTCAGGTGGGGGCCGACGTCAGAGGAAAGACAGTTTGTGGGTGGCCACAGTATCGCATGCAGAGAGCAGGGAGTCGGGGTAATGTCAGGTACATGTTCATTGAGAATTTGTGCAAGTGGATTCGCAATTCCTAGCTATCCCGTGTAGATTCAATTCTGATTGTCCAATATCGCCATGTCCCAAGGAGCAATGTTGTGCGTTTGTCACATCCAATATCCCCACAAGTCTGACTGACCGACTTCCAGTCTTGGCTACATCAAACCATATATCAAAATTAAGGGCTCTACTACTAAAATATACTCAAATCCCCTGAGGGCTAAGGGCAAAGACCGAATTCCATAAACACAACAAAAAAGAACATCAAAGTGCTCCCTCGTTTTCTCAACTCAGGAATACTAGGAGCAAGAAGCTACTAGGGGCTCCTGGCATCGCTACTAGGAGCAAGGACGCTACTAGGCGCTCCTGGCCTTACTAGGAGCAAGAACGCTACTAGGAGCCCTCAGACGGAGGCGCTGGGAGCTGTTGCTACCATGTGTGTGTGCACCTCCCAGGCCTCCTTGGGCACGAGGATTGCCACCTCGGCAGCGGATGCGATGCGGCTTGGAACCGGTGATTTTGGGGTCCTCGGGCGGACGGGTCCGCAGGCGGCAGCATCACCAACTTGACCGATACTGGAAAACCAACTAGTGTTGTTTGTATTCCGATTGAGTGCGGGATGAAAAAGAAACACACACATATATATTATATATATATACATAATTAGTTTGATATTAGTAATTGCTTTCGCTTTTGGACTACATGCAGAACCATTGCACTGTTGGGTGAATCTGGTTGCCCTATGCTATTGTACCAGTTAGTTTGCAAGAGGTTGACTCCATCTTATCCAAGTGGTCAATCCGGGAATACTGAGGAACACATGGGTGCAACAGACCCATCTTGGCTCCCATGTGGAACATGGTAGGAGCACTGGCCACTTACGATGTTTGAACGGCTGCTGTCGTGACGCCTGTGAAGCTCAGGAAATCCATTGGGCCAGCTGCGCCCAGCAGCCGGCGCGCTGGCGACAATGAAAATAGAACGAAAGATAACCACAGATCTGTGAGACACAGAAGAGAATGAACAGATGTTCATAGCGATTAAACAACAACCCAAAGGTTTCATCACTGTTTACGAGTGTCCTTTGAAATGCCACGAGGAACAACTGCTGATAGAGGCGGCTTTGGATGCGTAATTACATATTAAGCAGGATGATATGGTAAATCCTCTTGTAGTCTTTCGATGCCCGACAGAGTTCAAGACTATATACTATGTGGGCTCAACACTGAACAAGATTTCAGGGTCGAGTAGCATGCAAGATCGAGATCGAGTACCCGAGATCGTAGATCAACATTCTCAGGCTATTCTTTTCATGTTATGGATGTTCGGGTGGGCATGTAACCTGTATGATACCTTTTGACCAATGTGTCGATTGCTGTCCTTTGTGTAAACCAGCATTTCAATGCATTTCATGGCCTTTGAACAAATTGGGCTAGAGGAATCATTGCCTTTTAGTGGTTGATGGGCCCCGGAGGAATCTACACACAGTGACCGGGCGACGTTTGTGTCACAGACAATCGGTAACTTGCAAAGTGGTCATTGAATCCAAAGCAGAGTTGAATCCATGGAGAATCCATCCTCAATGGAGTCTTTTACATCAGATGGGTAGAGTTTGCTTACGCACAAGTCGAACTTCAGCGACCATGGAAGATGCTGAAGCGAAAGAGGCCGGCGGCCCGGCACAAGGCGGGACAGGGCAAACTCATTCATACCTGCGAGATCCTGCGAGCAAATAGACAATTCAGGGGCGCTGCAGTGCAGTGATCATTTGATTTCAGGCTCTATGGTGGGCGAATGCTTGGCGTGAAAGCTCAGGAGCAGGTAGCATGCAAACGACGGGACTCCGGGATTTTTGTTCCTGGTTTGGTGTTTTCCACTCCCGCACGCACAGTTTTCCTTCCTAGTAGGAGGATTTGGGTTGGGTGTTTTCTGTTCCCAGTTTGGTGCTTTCTCTTCCTTCCCTAGTAGTCTTTTCTGTTCCCAGTTTGGAGGTTTCTCTTCCGTCTTACTTGTTTTACTTTCCCAGAAAGCACCGAACCTGGAACAAAAAACACCCAACCCCAAACGACGCAGGAAGATGCAGTGAATGCAAGGTCTTAGGAATCAGCTCATGTTGTCTTTGGAGGTTTCATGATATTGTCTGAGGTCTGAGAAATTTGCTCAAGGTTTCGATCCTGGGTTTTTGAGGCTGACCTACACCCTGGAAGACTAACATGGAACCTGAAAACCACTGGTTGGTCTTCCATGGGACCATTGTCAGGGTCTATGTTAGTTTTCAGGAGTGTATATCATATCCTTAAATGCAGCCCAAGGTGTCAGTCTTGGACGAGATGCAGGCGGAGGCAAAGACTCCTCGCCAGTTCGTTGTGGCTGCAGTGAGTCACAGAGGGGTGCACCAGAACTCTGTCTCGCAAAGCGGCAAAGCGTTCATGTAGCAGTCCTCGACATGTTCCTACTAGGTCAATCACTTTCGGCAGCTCCAAGTCTATCAAAACCCCAAGGGCCGGATGAGGATGTGAACTGGTCAGGCCAGCCTCACAGCAGAAGCGAGGAGCAAGGCTGTGGGATCAAATCCGCTGGTTGGTCGGCCCGCAGAGCGCGCGAAGCGCATGCGTGGGTGTCTCTCGCAGGAAGCATGAAGTCCCATTTCAAAGCCAAGAAACGGCTCTTTCCATTGGTTGTGCTAGAAAAGCCATTCTTCCACTCTGGGTGGCCTCTAGTACTCTAGTCAATTGAAGTGGCGCTAGCTCCTGCAGTTTGGTAGTTTGAACCAAGGGGTTTAAGCACGTTTTAGTGGTTAGTAGTACTCGATCGTACGATTTCCTGAAGTGCACGAGACCTCCATGGAGGTCTTGGCTGCCTTCGAGACTGCCTTCGCGAGTGAGATGTCTCGATTGCCTGCGACCTGTAGTGTTTGCTCATTCTGATTCTGGAGTGTCAGGTCCTGGACAAGATAGTTGCAGCATGTTGCAGATACTTCCGCAACATGCCTCAGCACATTTCAGCTACTTTGGTAAGCCCAGCAAGACAGACTCAAGCGCAGCGAGCCTTTTGGATGGCATAGGGATATGTGCGTGAGCGTACACCGCATCAAAGGAGAGTATGAGGTGCTGCCTCAACGAAGTGAAACATACCTTTCAAGTGAAGTTCCCAAACCTCACCAAACAGGGATCAGGCATGAAGAAGCAAACGGGCGCTTTGAACGTAGCACCAAAGGGCGTCCAAGGGTGACAACGCACCACAATTAGTGACCGTAGCCTAGTTGGTATCTCTATACCTCACCGCGTTTGGACCGCGTTTGGATTGCCATGAGCCACTGGAAGAGCTGATGGGTCCAGCCCGCGTGGAGACTCCGCGAGAGGAGATGTCTTGGTGGGGGAGATGTCTTGGCAGCATGAATAGGTTTGTTTCCACCTGAGGGCAGACAGTTGACGGCTGTTCATTGCTTCAATCAATGGTGCTGGTCCTTGCACTGGTCAGCCACGACCTTTGGAAAGTGGAACGAGAAAAGAACGAACCATGAATCAATGAAATTCAACACCAGGCTGCTGAGGATTTACGAAAACCGGTATGTGCACTTGGTACTGTAGCAATAATAATATGAATATCAATTTCCAGCCCAAAGCGATGTAGAGTCAGAGGCACTCTCTGTTTGCTTACTGTTCTGAGCTGTTCACTTTGCTGCGAAGTGACTCTCTGTTTGCTTACTGTTCTGAGCAGTTCACTTTGCTGCGAAGTGGATAATCTCAGTCATCTCCCATCTCCGGAACGAAGCTCAGCATGGATTCGACAAGTTCACTACCAGGACACTGGGACCTTTGAGCTGTGGAAGGCCATTTGGGGATAGCAAGTTTTCCTCGAAAGACATCAAGAGATCACGTCCTCACTTCTTCCACAGAGAATCACGAGAAAACCAGACCAGGCTACTCATCCAAAGGATTCCAAAGGATTGAAGCTTACATTGGCAAAATGGGTTTTGGAACCTGACGTGCGTCATACGTCACATGCCGCTGTTCGTTCTGCAGGTAGCTCGGCAACTACATGCCCTTTGGGTTCCTGTGCTGTTTGGTAGCATCAGTGCAGGGATCAGAACTACGAATCTATCCTATCTTGGTTGCTTGACTGCGAGCAATTATGCGAAAGAAACGCAAACAAACCCCATGTGGCCCATCAAGCGATCCAAGTCCGACTCTGTCGGACAGAAGGGCGACTGCAGAGAAGGGCAGTCGCTGGGAAGTCGCTGCCGCGGAAGTCGATGTTGCCGAAACACGAGAAACATAGAACAAGTTGGCTTCTCGCACTGAGGCTTGAATTTCTTTGCTCAGCAACACACCGACTTGAGGCGTGTAGAATCCATGGAACAGCAGTCAATTGCTCTTGCAGATGCATCAAAAGATTGAAACGCTAGAATTGGATAGGATGTGTCAATCAGCACGTCGTTTCCATCAACCCAAGGATTTGTCACATGAGACACTTCAGAGACGGAACCAGTTAGGGAGCCTTCCCAAGAGCTTTCCAAGTGCATTGACACACCGAAAGAAGTCAGTTTTCCCATTAACCCAAAGCCCATGCCACGTGCGACGGAAAATACCGCCTCGAGCGAAGTCCTAAACCTTCGGCATTCAAGTGCATTGATTTGTGAGGCCGGAAGACATACGATGTGAGGACACGCCTGAAGCACCATACTGCCAGGCCGGGACCGGGTTCACGGTCTTTAGATCGTGTGAAACGTGAAGCTCGAAGGCATCTTAGGAAATGTACGCATTCCAAGTTCCTCAACAAAAAACATATATTATGAACTATGGACGATAGAAAAAGGTCCCAGCTTCTGGGATGTATGTTTGATGATTTTTCTGCTGCAGGCTGCCATCAACGACAACCTCTTCTGGGCCACCACCATAGGTAGGACTTGTGAGCCACGGTTTGCTGTCAGTCAAAGCGCATGATGCATTGATCCTTGAAGCTTTAGCTGTTTTTAGTTGGGACAACTGGAAGGATTAGCAATAAGCCATCTCAACCATTTTTACACCTCATGCGGCCATTGGTTTTGCCAGAAGCCTACCTGCACTAAATTGTGAAAAAACACCTGCAGCCACACCAAACAACAACGGTAAAGCAGCGGCACTGAGTCTCGCTGCGTAAGCAAAACCGGCTTTACAAAAGACTCAAGCTCAGCCGTGCCACTGCTGATCAATCGCTGCGCAAAGATGTGTGGCCAAGACACAAGCAAAGAACAGTCCGTTGACAGCAGCTACCTTCATCAGAAACTGTAGGCAGCAACTACAAACCAACCACCCTAAGTGCAATTCCAAAAGCGGAATGTCCCATGCTTCACACAAGGAAACTGCAACGTGCTGCAGGAAATCTGCTTTGCAACATTGCAAAAGCAAGCAACTACAACAAGGGGGATTGCGCTGGGTACCCACCAGCAGGGGGCACAGCTGCATGGAGTCCACAGACCGCTATCTTGACTGCCGTCACAAGCGCCTCTATGGTTTGAATCAACTTGGTGGCAACTGTAAAAGCAAACGTATTTGTCACACGTCACCTCTTCAGTACAGGCCAACTGCACGAAAGAAGATTCGCTGCTCTTCTTCGTCGCAGTTCCTGTCGTTCACGGTCACCACCTCAAAACATGGTGCATGGCACACTCGGCTCATACACCATACCCAGCCCCCAATTCCGATTACACACCCATTCCATCCAGAGGCCTGCACAGTGGTTTTGGATGGTGGTCTGCATGGTGGTGGTTGCGGTGACATGGCATGTAGGTGCGATTGGCTCCCTCCTTCACTTCGTTCTCGGGCCCTTCCTTGGGGCACTCAGCGACTCCATCGGACGACGTCCGGTGATCCTGCAGCCTGGCGATTCGGTGGGCGGCGATTCGGAAATCTAGGCGATCCACCGTAGGAGCGGTGGGCAAAGTGGTGGGGAGCAGTTCCTATTTTATCTAGGTACAACAGGGGATCTAACGTCTTAACAAGAGGCATATTGTAAACCAGTGGCAGACCAACGTCTCTAATTATTTGCCTTGGCAGTTTGGACCTGCATGCTTGTTTGTTGCCTTGGCAGGGCCAAACTCAAACGGGAATGTTCAATCCGAAGGTCACGTGTAACTGCGTCATGGTTTTTTGTTTCAACAAATGAATGCATGCCAACTGTCTTACCAGGACACGACTAGAGTGACTAGAGAAACTTGACAAGAATTGTATAGAATTGTTGAATGAACACACTCGAACACCTTTCAGCCTTACAGGCGGCTTGTTGAGCCTTGGGACTGGTAGCTTCTTGTTTCTAGTAGCGATGGCCTCCAACCTACTTGCGATGGACTCCACCCAATAGCGTCCTTGTTACTAGTGTTTGCCCCAGCGAATCTGAGGCTTTGCAGTCTCCTCGGGTACCCATCTTTGGTGTCGCTGGCGCTTTTCGTTTACAGATGCTCGGCCATCACTTCAGAGGGCTGCTTTTCTATGCCTATGCAGAACATCAGAACCTGTAAACATGTACTAATGCCCCCCAGGCGGCCGTATAGACTTGTGCACAGGTGATCCTTCCTCACAAAATAGTTGAGTGACAGGGGTGCTTGAAGTAGAACGAAACACACGCCAGTTGTTCATTTTCGAGGTCCTAGAGACACATTCTGGGTCATAAGTGAGCAGCAACAACAAGGAAGCATTGATTGCTGTGGGTACGTCCAACAACTTGCAAAATAACAATTTGGGCCCTTATTTCCTTGCTCCTTTCTCTTTGCTGGATTCCCTCGGTTCGTTGCTGGATTCCTCGGATCATTTTGGTTTGGATGAACGGAAGCTGATCGGGTTTGTGCTAGGTCATAACAGGAAGAGTAGGATACGAAAAAGCATTCATTGGCCTTTGCCGGATGCTCTGTGAGCCTTCCTGGGCACCCAACTGCCTCAGGAAACGTCAGCATGTACTTTACTTTTGCGCTTATGCCGCTGGGAGGACGGAGATGGGTTGGTTTTGTACTATGAGGTGCCTGCCTGCTTGATGGACAAGAATCCAAGAGGGTGGTTATTCACTGTGGTAGTACATGCAGAACACTGGCTTCAGCTCGCCGCAGGGGCATGAGGCATGGAGTCACTTACCTAATTATTGACACTATAACTCCGTTTGCCTAGGAAAAAGAAAGCCTCTTGAAGTTTAGGGACTTAACAGCGATGGCCTCCAACCTAATATAGCATGTGTAGGAACTAACCTTAATATGCAGGACATTGAATATCACGCCTTCTTGGTGACACTGCATGGCATGGCAGTTGTGGTCGTTTGGCGGGTGGCTGTTCTGATGTGTCGAAGAAAATAGGGATTGCACGCATTTACCCTCATGTTGCATGTTTTTGCTTGATGTGGCAGCTCATCATCGCAGAACTGCCTGTCCTTGCAATATGGTTCGCCTTCATCGTCGACCTCATTGAGGACACTCTTGTCACAAGCCTTACTTGATACTTTTTGCCTGCCTTGAACCCTTGCATGCAGCAAGAGATCTTCACTTTCGTGGGCGGAGGCCAAATCCATTCAAGTGACAGGTCTACCTCCGCAAAACTCACGATAATGTGAGTTGATTGGATAAGGATTGGGAAAACAGGGAAAACAAAGCTACTGTATATAGAAAACGCACCAACATAATCCAACATATTTGATGATTTCTCATGTGAACCACTGCCAGGGGGATTTGTTCAACAATTGCTTCAATGCGGACAATGAATGTGAATGAATGTGGCACCGTCCTTGTGTGCATATACACTGGTGATTGAACGGTCGGTCGAAGGAGTCTCGAAACACTGACTAACCATTTCATACCTTTGCGGCTTTTGAACCTGATTCTCAACGAGACTGCTCCAACTACCTCATCATGCTTTGATTATATTCAGGAAAAGAACCCTGATATTGTTGGTTTTGGCAATTGCGGACATATTGCATCAATGGATTCACAATCCGCAGCCTCTCGGCCGGCTCGAAGGACAGCAGCACTCATGATATTCAGTTGTGCTCTCATATGCTAGATATTCATGGCCATTTCGCAGAAGCACCCTGGAGGTCTGGCTTACAACCATTCAGGCTACTGTCGGCTGCTCACAAATGATAAGAAACATGTATAAATTTCAATGGTGGTGAAGTCACGTTTTCGAAGGCCCAAATGTGGTGGCCACCAGCCAATGAGGAGCCTGGTCTTGCTCCGTGCGTGCGCAAGCGAAGGCAGTGAGCCAAGCGCTCCCACAGATGAACAAGCTTTGGGATTGGCTAGGACCGCACAGCTGTGTGATGAACTGCGCTTCTCAGCTGGATATTGTTCCTGAAAGCGAGCGGAGCCTGGTGATCAGGCCTGGAAAGAGTCTAACCTAGGTCAAAGTGTAATCTGAAAGTTGCTTTAAAAAAGAAAACAACAACAATTTTCTTGCGGAACAGTACCTGTACCTGCAACAGAATCCTCAGGCCTTTTGAATTGTCTTTCCTACGAACTGCGGACTTTTTCGTTATTTTTGTTAAACGAACTTCGGACCTTTTGACATGTTCTTTTTCCTGCAGCACAGTGCTGTGGGATTGCTCTGGTGTTGGTCTCGTAGGTGCCGAGAGGAAGTTTTGCCCCAGAAGCCTCGGTGCCTGCGGCTTTGTGTGGAGCGTGCGATGAATCTGCCACAGAGGCCACTGATTCTTGCCAACTCGACTGCCGTGGAGGTTCTTCCGAGTCAGGTTGTCCATGGTTGTACTGACTTTAAGAAGTTGCTTCTTTGAACTGCTCATTTGGTGTGGGAAGCGAATTCAAAAGATTGAGGAGTTTGAATTTCCCCAAACAGTTTACTGTTGGGGTTCTATCTTTGGAAAAAAAGAGCTGGCCACACTCACTGGCCGCGCTGGCGAACCCTGTGTCTTCCTCCTGCTTCTAGTGGCTACGTTTTCGAACCCTGTGGGTCCTCCTGGTGTTCCCCGCTGTCCTCGTGCCACGGTCGCAAAAACCGTGTCCTTCTTTTGTTGTTTGTCCAGGTCTGCCTGTCCTGCTTGTCCACGTTGTGGGGGGCCGGTTTATCACCGTCTTACTCGGGGCTTGTACCCTGCTATGTGGCTATACATGCAACAGTGACACAGTGATCGAAAAAAAAATAAAAAGCGGTATCACTTCGGATCTTCTCACGACATATATCCGGTATCCCATCGTTTTGCGCATGTGACACAGGTACCAGGAACTGGTGTTTTCAAACAATTATTGTTTAGGCGCAGTTCCCAAACAGCTGGAGGCTTTAGACAAGTATATTTCCACCAACATTGGAATTTTCGGAGTTGACGCCGACCGACAAAAATGCTGACGCTGTTTGGGGTCTATATATGCTGGTGTAATTATTTTGCTTTCCTCCGCTGTGAGGCCTAGCTTCTTGGAAGTGGTCTTCAACAAGGGATTGCGGTCTGAGCAAAGTTACTTGGACTATACAACAGTTGAAGATGGAGCTTAAATAGAAGGATCTCCTCGTTTGAAGATGGTAGGAGTAGCACCCGTTTGGTCAAAGTGTGCCTTTGTTCCCTACCTCAGAGCCCTTCACCATCCTTCACGTTTCAGGACGCTTCAACGCAATTTCACCCACCCTATTTTCGATCACTCCTCGTTGCTCACGGTTGCTCGGGCGACGAGGACTGGCCAGCACAAGGACTGAAGCCGCCTCTCCGACCCCCTGCTGGCACTATGAGGTGGAGGCGACTGGCCTGAACCCTCATGGGGCTCCTCCCAGCGTCGAGGTGGGCGTGGCACTGGAGCTGCGGGGAAGCAAATCGCTCGTTTCGGCTGATGAGACCTCCCGACCTCTTTTTTTGTCGTTTTTGATTGGTCACCCTTGTCGAGTGTACAACAGGGCCTGAGAACTCCAATCCCAAATTGGGCACGCTAATCCAATTGGTTTTCTGTGATGTATTTGGACGAGGTGCAGATCATGGATGCCAGCCATGTGGTGCCAATGCCCATGGGCTGTGCCCTTTTGGAGGTTGATTTGAAGGAGTCGGAGCTGCAAGAGGAGGAGCTTCAGGTCAAGATGACTCCATGTTTTCATCCAGGCCACATGGGGCGCATGTTCTTTGAAGACCTTTGAAGCGCGTCTAATTATTTGTAAATATGAGAAAATGACCCGCTTTCGTAATCTTCATACGCCTTTTCCAGGCTTTAATCGATTTTTTCGACTTCCCAGGTGATTCACCTCCCATGTTGATCGTCACCTGGCAAATTTGCACCGATGACCTACCGAGATCGTTGGCTCGTGCGCACGTCCGGGCCTGTTGATGGCCTGATATGTCTTCAGGCAGCACTCAACTCGGAGGATTTATGGGGTACGTGTGGGCAGAAAGCACTTCTAGCTTGTGCTTGTTGCCCTGTTCAGTTGATAGGACAGGGTAGCGAAGCGCCGGTACTTGATGCCAGTGTGGGGGGTGACCGGTGGGTGCCGGATCTGCCGCCAGATCCAGGCCTTTAGCTGCAAAACAGAGCCAGTTTGCGGTTGTTTTCACCGACTTGACGACGTGAAGATGGACGTTGTTTTTGACAAAGATGGCTCTATTTTGTGGTTTGTTTCATAAGCTCCAGCAAACAAGCTGAGCAAAGCATTTGAAAACAACAGTTGCCATGAACCTGGCAAAGAACTTAAGCTCCTTCAGCTGCTTTTGCAGCCAAATGAAGGATACAAATTGAGGCAATGCTTTCTAGATGTTTCCAGCTTCCTTGACATTTGCGTCAAGAGGCCAGCAAGCTTGTCAGCCTGAGGATGGTTATGTTGTTGTTCAGTGGTGTGAAGGGCAAGTCCTACGAATCAATCAGACAATCTCCTGATGTGTCCTTGCCAATGAGCCATGTGGTTACTTGACGTCACGTTGTGCCAATTTGGATGGCAGCAAATGCCCAACAGTTGGCCAAAACTGGATGGGAGAGCCCGTTGAATAGATCAGGAATTGAGAGTCAGCAAGACAATGATGTCGAGTTCCAACAACGTCAAAGCCTGCAGCACTTGATACTGTAATGTAATTTGTCATGGCATCCGTCATGGAAGAGCATTCTGATTGTATTTTGTCAAATATTTGCATCTGGAAGATTTGAGTTCCTATATGACACAAATAGATATGACATGATATGACATAAGATATATTTGAATTTGTTGCCTGGCATCCATCTTTTACCGAGCTCTCTCACGTAGTCGAGGTCAGAATCAAAGACTTAAGGATTGAAGACATGCAAAGCATTGCAAAGCTCAAAGCAGAATCCAGTTTTCTTGAATGACAAAATTCTCGGATTCTTCACGGATGATCCGAAGGATGATGTCGGAGCAGGGATGGGATGATCGAATGTGGCGCTTCGCAGGACAATCGCGACAGCAGTGTGGCCTTCGGTCTTGTGAGTGCTGTGGCGCTCCTGTCCACGTAGGACGCCCAGCACAACCTGAAACACAACCAGATCTTCGAGCTCGGGTTACAGATTGATATGTGTATTGCATTTTATTGCAATTTGACAAGAGAGAATGAGTTTTCTTTGTCTGAGTCTAAGCCCTTCACTTGCAGGCTAAACCCGAAAACAGCTGCATGCTCTGGCACAGTGAATTGGGAGGGATTCCAGCTCAGATAGCAAGATACAACGATTCATGACTTCACAGAGTGTTTCTACCCATATACCTCTCTCTACAAGCCTGCCTTTCTTTGGAGCCAGGTGGTTTTTAACTTTTTGGTTTCGTGACAGCCAGTGACCAGGGAAAGAAGATCAGGCTCCGAGCTATGGAATCAAAAGCAAAGTACACTCTGGCTCCTGGCGGTATTTTAGACATACTCCCAACCCAGGTTGGTCCATTTCCTGTTTGTGTTTGACCTGAGGATGCTGGGTGCGGGCATTGGGGCATTCCTCTCAATGAAATCAGGCACTCTCCCGTGCTGCAGGAACGTGCTGATGGTTTGATAGTCCGCAAGAGCTGGTACTATTCACGTTTTGTGATTTTATGTTGGAGGCCATCGCTATTGGTCTTGTATTTCCTGTTCGCCTGTTGACACTTATCCTGAATGGACTCTTGCAACTGGTTTGCTGCGATTCAGCAGGTTGGCAGGGTCTTCTTTGCCACAACAAGTTTAATTAGGATGCATCTATATGGGCCTACACCCATTTATCATTGATCAGAATGGACGATAAAGTGCGGGCATATTGTTGTTGCTGACAGGAAACATTTGCTATGTAATTAGGCTTTGGATGCACTTTCTCTATTTTTTTTCTCAGACTTTGAATCCAGCGGTGGCCGAGAACATAAAGCAGGTTGTTCACTCAATCATGCTCCACACTCACCAAATTGCTGGAAGGCGTGGCTGCTATGATCTTCTTCGACATGGGCATTCTTTTGCCATACCTTGCAGGGCGCCCAGAATGTTGTAGCTCACCTGGTGAAGAGTCGGTGATTCTCCTTACGACCGTAAACCTGTCGAAGGGGGTTGCTGTCGACTGCCACCCTCTCCAAGTCGGCAAAACGATCCAACAAAGCACATAAAACGCAAGAAAACATGTCATGCAATGTTTGCTCCACATTCCAATGGAACATAATGAGACAGTGGAAAATAGTGGAACAGACGTGTCCAGAGGGATGGAACAGAAGTGAACAGACAGGTTCAGCATTTGCTTGTGAGGTTTGCTGTCTCCCAGAGTCCGAGCCTGAGATTTTGCGCAATCGGAAGATGCAACTTGTGAAGTTGACAGTCCATTTAACGAACATGTTCATAGCTTCATCATCCTGCTATCCTTGCAAATGATTTGACCAGCGCTGCTGGGCGTCCCCAGTTTAGCGCGGCTGGTCTATTTGCTAGTGGACAGCGATTTCCCACATTGAACAGTTTCAGACATCATTCATCAGGGAACACCACAGGTTACCAGTGAAAGACGACGGTCAGGACACTGGTACCTGCCAAGCGGCAAGCCATGCAGTGGCGTGCAGCCGCACCGGGGCTTGGCTTGAGCCACTTGGCGAGGCAAAAACTCCAGAAAGACGTGGAAGTAGAGACGTCCATTAGCGGGTCTTGTTGATGATGGAGGTTTGAGGATATGCTGTATCGAAGTGTAAGCCAACGTGTGGAAAGCAGAAAAATCTGGCGTGGGGTGTGGTGCAGATGCTTGTCGTGGTGATGGCTTTAGTGCTGTGGTGACCACCTTGTTGAAGGATACCAGACTATGAAGGTAGCGCTTCTGAGCGTCGTGTCCCAAGGCATTCTGGTTCGCCGGGCGCCCAAGCAAGTGAATGATTGTGCATCCCAACGATTTCATGAGACTGGTGTTTGTGATGTGGAGCAATGTGGAAGAGAGGTGCCAACATCTAAGTTTGTTGGACCAATTGAAGCGTGCTTTGATTCATTTTTTTGGTAAATGGATGCGATTGTAATAGTTTGCATATGTTTGCATGCAAATTCCTTGTCTTCAGGCAACCAGCTTTTTATGCAGCTATCCACACTAGTGCAGCCAGCAAGTTTGAATGTCATGCAGTCTCGATGCCTTCCTTTGGTCCCAAACCGAACAACTGAGGGTCCCAAAGGGCTCCACAAAATTAAACAATAAGGCCTTTGGTCCCAGTGCCATCAAGTTTGTTTTTTCATGAATAATTCCTTTCCGAAAGGAGGCTCAAATTTGCATCTTTGTGAAAGCCCTGGAGGTCACACTCACTGCAAGTCCAAGTCCCATCTGATTGAAAGGATCAACAGGATGCCAAAGGTTGGAGGAGTCATGGCCATGAGTCATGGCTCAAGTGAGTTGCAAAGGCTTATTCGAGTTGAAGGGTATCTGAATGGCAGGTCATTGGTAGCACTTTCATTGGCACTGGATTCCAGCGTGTGAGCTCCAGTTTCTTGCAGATCCTTGGCGAGGTCAGCTGCGTGTAGGCCACACATCATGTCACTGAAAGACAAACTTTCTCGGTCCGTGTTGCTTTGGTCCTGAAGACCACTGCTAGCAGGACGCTACTACGGGGTAACAAGAAGCTACTAGGGGCTCCTGGCTGTACTACTAGGAGCAAGAATGCTACTAGGGGCTCCAACCCCTGATCGCCTTCTTGCTTATCTTTTGCTGGGCCCCTCAAGGGCTTGGCCGTCGAAGTTGAATGTGGAACGAACAACGGCTTAGCATCCAACAAAAGACATCATATAGTACATGATGCTAGTTTGTGTCTAAGTAGCCTTGGCAGTACGTGTCGAGGTCTCTGCAGCTTCATGCAAGGCAACTTTGAGGGTTTTAGTCATGATATCCCTGAATAGATGTTCTGAGAACAGACGCCGAATCTCAGGAAATACATTCGATGGCCAAAGCATTGCAACAATGTGGCAATCATTATCGGTGGAGCATCATCCATCGTTTGGACGGGATTTGGTCTTTCCATCACTTCCAAGATCATGGGCGATGTGGGATCACTAGGCAATTGCTGACTGGCGAACAGTCAAGATTGTGAGTGCTGCAGCATGATTTGTGAGTCACATATTGGATCATTCCCTACTTTGTTTTTCTGTGGTTTTGTAATGTTTTGCGCGGTTACAGTATACAGTATTACTCTCACCGTTCCAGGCCTGGCCCTTTGGGCTGGGGCCTTCTACATGTTGTGCTTCGCCTTCATCACCACGCAGTGGCACGTCTATATCCTCAATGCCGTCGCTTTGGCATCACATTTTGCCACGGAAACAAAGGGAATCCGTGTAGGCTCGAGCGCTTTGGGTCATGTTTGATATAGTTTGATCATTCTTACTTGCCAGTGACTTGAGTGGATGGAAGTAGATGAGACAGATCTTGAGTGGGGGGCGACGGGAGTCTGATGTTTGAAGCTTCGTGGAGAAACTCCTAAAAACAGTCCAATGCATCAGATTTGCTGCGAGGGCTTGAGGCCGGCATAGAACTTCAGACATGGGCCATAGAAAGGCTGGATTTCATGTGTAAAGATTGAAGAACATCCTCCAAGCAAAACATCAGATTTTCCCAAGAAGTCTGTCTGTGCGATAGAAGTCTGTCGGGATAGTCGTGTGTTGTTCTTCGTTGCATTCGCTTCAGGTGCTTCTGGGGCCACAAGCTCTGGCTTTCCCAGCCACTTCCGCGATCAAGAGTCGGCTGGTGGCTGAAAGTGAGCAGCTTGCCATCGCTGGGCGAAGGGCTGGGGGTTGAACCGTTGAAGAGTGCGGCAGGAGGAGTTGTGGGTCGCACAGGCTTCCTGTAGGTTGGAAGAGTTTTGTTTCCATCGCCGTTCTAAATGATATGATATCCCAATTACTGTACCCTATTTGACCAACCCAGGAAGTCTAAAAGGACAACCAGAAATCCTATAAATGCAGACCTACCTGAGTGGAATCAAGAGAGTGAGTCGTGAATCTTGGCCATGGCTCTGGCCATGGGACACCTATGGACTTTGTTCGAGCAATACTCGTGCAGACATCTTGGAGCAAGTATCCATCAACCTGTCACCAGTTGGTTGTGCTTTGGCCATCAAAACACACAGCTTTGATACATCGAGTGCAGCATTCTTTCACCACAGTTTGTTCGCTGGATTCAGCAGAGTTTTTGTGTTGCCAAGAGTGTAGTGATGTTTCCAATTGTTTTCAGACATATCACAATCAAATACAATATACGATAGGACGGAATCAGCTCAGGCAAGGTCTCCTTCAAGGCGTGGTGTGATCGTTGGTGCATTTGAGGTTTCAAATCTGCAGAACTCTCAAGACCCTTTTGCTCTTTGGTGTCAAAGCTCTGGACAAAGCTTCTTTGTGTGTTTTTTTTGTTGCTCACTTTCTGTCTATGAAAGTGTGCAGATATGACATGTTGTGCTATTCCTCCCTGGACCGGAAGCTTCGGCGGGGTGTTCAATCCCGTGTCAAATTGCAGAGGTCGTGGCAAGAGATATACCCCACTGAAAACTGACCATGGACCCTGAAAACCGGTGCAGCTAGAGGAACACCGTTCTTTCAGGGGTGCCATTCTCAGGGTCTATCCTTCTATTGTCATTGTCCTTTTCTCCAGTACGAACTGTTACAATCTTTCAGCGCAAACCCATTAACAAAGTTATTGTGGTTCCTTTTAACAAAGTACACACAAACACAGAAAATGGCCTATGCTCAATGACCGCCTTTCCTTGCCTTTCCCGGCAAGGTGCCTTAAACACTGGCAAGAGTATTGCTGAGTCTGTGGGCCCTATCCTCTTTGGCTTCTTGTTCGAGGCGCGCGAGGCTGCGAGGCGGAGAGCTTGTGCGCCCCTTCCGCGGCGAGGTCTTTAGTGCGCCCTTTGATGGACACGACTCTCACACCACAAAGGTCTCCGCCAGGAGAGGGGTGCAGAACCTATGACATCAAGATACATCGAGACTAAAAAAGAATCCTCCTGGGACCACTCCTGCAATGAAACAAATTAAACTTAGGTAATTAGGAGACTCCTTTGGAAACATATGGAAACATCACAAGTCCGCCCAGTTTTGGATTTCCTTTTGTTTGGCAGCATGTTTGACCTTCCCTTTTGCAAGTCTCAGTTCAGCTTTATAAATTTGACCACTACCTGCAGGATCCCCATCTTGCTGGCATTTCTCCTGTCGCTGCCTTTGCTTTGTTTGGCAGCGATGCTGCCCCAGAAGCTGGCCAGTCACTGGGCTGACAATGGATCAACTGGGATGAGGCCAGTGCCAGGTGAAACTAGCCGCTTCCACACTGAGAGTTTTCAAGTGTCAACATGCTATGCAAGATCACCACTGCCTTCCTAGATACCACCGAAGCATACCTCCAAAGCATACCATGCTACTACTTTAGTCTTCGCACTGCGCTAAGCATACCCCGAAGCATACCCGCCCACACCGTAGTCAAACATCCCAGCCTGGGTGCGCTTAAAAAACAACACACACACTCATATGGCTTCATCAAGCTCAGAAAGCCCGACTCTTGATCTGCACTGAGGCTTTGAGCTGCAACTACGGGAACAACTCCGGGAACAAAGTGTCCAGATAGAGATGGAGATCTTCGAGGCATCCGGCATCCGGAGCTGGTGATCGCATGGAGACATTCGTCTTTGGTACCATTTGGTTATATACTCGTCTCTCTCTCTCTCTCCCCCCATCCCCTAGATTGGAAGGGAATGGTATGGTATTGATGTACATAATATTACTGGCCGAGACAGAGTCTTTGGGGTATGGGGAACAAAGGCTTCCAACACTGGAAGGGCTATAACCATATATCATGTCATATTAATCGATCATGGCGGCATGGCCCTTCTCACGCATAAGTGACCAGGTAGGTAGTTCCAACCCGATGTACTAAACCTGCTGTGACCTCACCCCCCCCCTGGTATGCCCGTGTCACGCGGTTTCAAAATCCATATACAGTAGTGTTAGCAGTGTTGGTTCCCTTTTCAAAAGGTACCGCGAATATTGCTTTGCTTCTACAAACCTCGTTTCTGGATGTTTCAGGTGTTTTTGTGTTTGGTTGCTGAGCTGAGATGTTTCTTGGATCAACGGTCCCCTTGAGGCGGAAGATGTGAGCTTGCTAGATCCAACACAGAGGCCAATCTGTCCTGTTTGCCCTCAAACCAGCGAGAAGGAACCCATTTCAAACCAGATGTTACCGGATGTTGATGCTTTTGGTCAAGAGTCAAGAGGAAGTGCTAGTGGCAGCAGCTAAAAGCAAGCGAATCATTGGCCTGCTAGAGCTTTGCTGGAAAGCTGGTGCGCATGTCAAATCAGCCCCTTCTGGCTGCTGGGCTTCGAATCTTCACTTCTGCAGCTCCATGTCATCACTATCCTCAAGTCCGACTCCAGCATTTCACTGAAGAAAGCCAACTTGCAATGAATTGCAGGATCACTGCTGCACCCTCTGCAAAGAACTTTGAAGAACTTCCTTTCATGCTCGCCACAGCCAGGGACAAGCTGCTCTAGTCCAGCCGCGCCCTAAAAGTCTGGTCATGAGACGGTTGAAGGAGGATTGCAACTTTTTGGACAATCCTAAGGGTCTACCCACCAGAAATGATATGAAGCTCGCTAAGCCCAGCTAAGGTAGCTTGGCTGACGCAACATATTTCACAGGTGCTTTGACGATGAAGCACATGGTCTTCAAAGCGATGGTGAGTCTGAAAAAGCCGGTGGGCTGGGGCTGCCGGGGCCCAGCATTGCTCTTGGCCTGGCGGGATGAACGAAAACTTTCGACAGCTCAAACTGGCTCAAACTCTTGATCAAATTGGTTACAAGTTTTAACAACGTGAGTCTCAATAAATCCTAATTTTACCCGACTCACCCCTTCTGGATCCAAAGAAGGGTCTCGGATTTAACGGCAGCAACCCTTGGAGCTGAAGTTGTCTTGAGAACTTCATAGAACTTCTGTTAGGATTACCAAGGCCTGCTGCGGCACATATAATTGCGTGGAGGTTATGAGGTTATGTAGTTTCTTTGGAGATACAGAATGATAGTCATGATTCAGTGGATCCATGAGTCGTTCATTGAACTCTGCAGCAATCATTAGCGAGTATATTGAAGATTTGAGCGCGATCGAGAATTCCTTGTACAGTGTACACAATTCTTCTTTAACCAGGGGACATGAGCAGATGAAGACTGCGTTGGATGGCATTGGACTTTCCCTCCCGACGGATAAGACCATATGTACTACCCGCTTGTTCCCTGCAATCTCTTTCTAGCACGGGAATGATCCCTCTGTCAAGTGAGCAACATTGAGCAACTAAGGCCACGCTTCTGGCGCATGTCAGTGAAAGGAACATTGAAGTCGTTGGGGAGCCAAAGCTGCTATCAGCGAGAAAACACCAGCAGAATACTTGAGCTTTCACCTCTCCTGCCTTGGAGTCTGAGGTTTAATTTCGGAGGTGAGGATCGGCTCTTTGATATCACGGAGGTGAGGAACAACTGGAAGTCGATGGAAGTCCACTCTGTTGACTCCGAACCATTGATGTGTGCTCTTTGCAGACTGCCCAAAATGATTGTGTTTTCTGGGTCTAATTCGGCCATTCTATTTGATCCAAAGCGCGACCATCCCGGACCAGTTGCAATTAAAGAGCTGCCCAGACTCTCCGCAGGAGGGTATGGCCGGCGTGACCCCTCGTTCTTGGGCTGGATTTACTGATCAAGCAAAAATATGTCATAATATAAATCTTTCGTCCACAATGGGCTTGAACTGGATTGCCGGTGTTTCGTTATATACCTTCAAAGCCGATTGTCAATGCTCCAACAATCACTGATCATGTTGTAGTCTGACATGTTCACATAACTTTGGGTGGATGTGAGGTCTTGTCTTAAAGTCTGTATGCAGACAATTGTTAATTCACGACAACAAGATCAAGATCCGCAAAAATGCAATGGTGAGGGCTCTTTAAAGGGGTCCTCAAGAACCTTCCTTCTTTCATCTCTTTTCTCCTCGTTGGCCTTCTTTCTTGTCAGACTCTAAGGAGGGGGGGATCTTCTCCTTCTTATATAACCGTTCTCCATTCCAGGCGTCGGTGCAGACGCCGGTGGCCAGCTTTGAGAACTTGCCCTTGAGGCGCAGTCTCTCGTCTCGCAGTGTTGAGTCCCTGATGAAACTGCAGTAGAACCATGCAGAACCCCAAGGGGTTGGTGAGAGCCATGTTTGCACAAAAACCTAAAATACCACCCATCCACCTTCATCACCACCATCATCACAACTATCACCACTACCCGCTTCACCACCATCATCACAACCATCACCACCACCATCATCACCATCACTACCATCACTGGGCTCTAATTGAAGGCATTACTGTCGGCTAAATTGTGAATTGAAAGCGACGAGAAGGGGTGCTACTTGTGCAACGCAGGAGGGACTGCTGACTGTAGGAAATTGAAGCGAAGCTGCATCACCTGAAACTAAATAGTCAAACACCAGTTGCAATCCATCGCTCGTGCGGAGGATCACTGGATCCCTCCAGGAGGGTGCCACCAAGCGAAGGACTGGCAGGGCCTGGCAGGGTGGCCCTAGTCAATCCTGCTCACAAACGTTGATTGAGTCATTGAAGCCAGTTCAGGATGTTGATGTGATTCTTTAGATATCCATGTAGACAAATAGAATTGCTCTTTTGGCTGTCCTCCCCCCTTTGCTGGATTTTGGGAGCTTTGTCCTGGTTTGTCTTGATCCAAACAGTGCCTTTTGCGCTGCATGTTTGGGGTCAGCCGTACAGTTACAGAGCCAAGACGGAAGAAAGTATTGTCCAGCAGAAGCAGGGATGATATTCATGACGTTTCATGAGAGGTACCGCCCCTTTGAAGTGAGCATTGTTGAAGTGGAATTGCTCTCGCCATGGCCGCGCTGTCTGTTGTATCTACTCCGCCACGTGCCGCCAGTGCATCAAAGGAGTGCCTTGGCAAGGCCTTTTGTCAAGTATTGTCAAGCGTCGACATCTTCAGATGCTCCGAGCCATTGATTAGTACAGATGGGAGCCACATGAAACTGCTGTGGTAAAACGTTGCTGCTTTCTAACACCTTTCATTGGTGCATGCTGGGATGGATACAGGTGTCATATGGTGCCAGTGGCTTGAGTCGGTAATGCATACACCTGTAATGATGTGATGAGTGAAGTCCCATTTCATTGAGCCCAGTTGACATCAAACACCAAAGTTGAGTTTGAACTAAGGATCGCTCCTCGACCTGCCCAGCAACTTCCCCGTGGAAGACTTAGCTCAGGCTGCATATAATGAGATTGTTGAAGCAAAGTAGTGGCCTGAGCATGTCTTGGTGTTCTGAGACCAGCAAGATTCTAAGATGCTAATGGCTGATGGTACTGTAGTTTCTGAGTTTATTTGCATGGTGAGCTCTGTCTCTGGAGCCCAGCGGCCATTTGCCTTATGTCAGCGTCCAACCTGCAGTCTTTTTTGTATTCTGAGAAGTAACACTTCGGGCAACGGATCCCAATATGTCATGAGAGCTGCGGTTTGCCAACAAGGATCTTCTCAACCACCCTACTACTATAGAAGCGACCAAGTAATCATAGGTGGTGGTGTGAGGATGTAACAAATGTAATGAGAGCCTTTTGGACCGTTTTGTGATCTGAGGTGCTTCGCAGGTGGTCCCTTCGCAAGTGGCGGCATTTTCAAAGGCGCCTTCAATCACATGAGGGGATCATGGTGAACACATGGTAGATATGCCAAAGTCATCCAAAGTCGTTGCAAGGCCTGTCCAACTCACTTGTCACAGAACTTGTAAACAAATATCTTGCGAATAGATTCGCTCAAATCGGCCAATTTGGAACATGAGTCTAGATAAACGGTTTACCTACCTTTTGATGCAGCAATTCCAATCTGGCCAAGGTCAATGATGATCATCCTAGAGTTTCGAATCAGATGATCTGTAGACTTTGATAGAAACCATCTTTCACAGAGAGTCAACAGTTCATAGATATTTAATATTATTTAATGATATTTATACAAATCCAATCAACAACCTCTACGCAAATCTACGCTCTCCAACCGAAGCTCGGCGCAGGGGGCACAGCTGGCGCCTGCGCCACCCGTGACTCGCTTCTCCACGCCGGCCTCTGAGGTGGGAAGATCTGTGAGAATGGAGACTTCTGAGGTCCATTGATGTTTGATGAGTACGCTTTAGATGGTTATATATATATATACATAAATAATATGCAAAGAAGGCACTCACAAAGAACGATCAGGCCAGAAAGTGGTATAGGGAAAGGTCGATAGTTTTGAGGCATTGTTTTTTCACAAGCGATTTCGGGCATTGATTTGCTCTGCCTCTTTTTGGGGGGGGAATGCTCTGGCCTTCTCGGAACCCATGGGAACGCACTAGAATTCATTTGATTGGTATGGACCTTCCAGGCCTCTGCCATGGGCACGCCAGCAAGGGCCAGTGGCGTCTTTCCATTGATGTCCACGTCTAGCAATCTCTCAGAGGCTGGGAGATGAGCCACTGTTGCCAATTCTTTCTTTGTTTGCAGATGCGGCTGTTGTTGGCGCTGTATTTATCCTTCCTTCTTGTGAAACTTCGTCAGAACTGCCAGCCTTGTTCTTCAGGAGCAGTTGCAAACGTGCTTTCTGATCCACATCCAATTTGCAGGTAATGCACCCCTTTCCAACATCAATGAGTTTGACCCCCGGTCTCTTTTCGCAGGAGAGGTTTGGTATATAACACCGTTCAACTAGTCACTTGACTGTTACTTTGCTTTTCGCGAGCAAGCTTGCTGGGCAGGCCTTGCAACCCTTTCCAACATCAATGAGTTTAAAGCCTGGCTTTTTGTCTCAGGCGAGTCTTATTGTGGGCACTACTGGTTTCCAGTGGTTGTTCCTTTCGTCACAGGCGCAACCTGGACCTTTGGCATCGATGAGCTTGACACCGGGCCTGCAATCTCAGGCAAAGCAAACACAATCACTTGAAGTCAGACGTGTGCAGAGTGCATCAGAGTGCAGAGTCTTTGCAGGCAATGACACCTTTGCCATCATCCATGAGCTTGACACCTGGTTTGTTGTCTCAGGCAGGATGCAAGCTGCTTGCAAAGACAACAAACCTCCCACTGTACGTTCAGTCATTGTAGGCAATGCAACCCTTGCCATCGTCAATGAGTTTGACACCTGGCTTTATGTCCCAGGCAAGCTTTGCAGTTGTGTTGTGAACTGCATAGATTCCTAGTCGCGCCATCAGGCCATGCCGGCCATGCCTTTTCCAACATCACTGACTTCAAGCATCGGTCATTCCTCCCAGGCAGGAGGGAGGATATGTTAATTTCCCAAAATCTAGGATCAATCATGTGAGGGTTCTTCAAGTCTCAGGTCGGGGGAGCTTCCTTGAAGAAGCCTGAGCTCATCCACTCCATTTTGTAGCTTGAAACAACCATCTACATAGTCTACTAGCCGCTAAACTCCGTGACAAACAGCCTGGCGGAGGTGCCGAGTGCTGCACTGCCCCTCCTCAACCCAGCTCGGAGCTTGACTTTGGATATGCTGTGAATGACTGCTCGACCAGAACATTGGAGAAGTTACAACTTATTCTCAAAACGTTTGCCTATTGTAGAAATCCTCGGGAGCATCATGGAATGTCCTTAAGGCTAAGCTGTTCAATCGTGTTTCTTTTTTCAGTAACAATTTCTTTGTTTTTTGGTTGAGGCCTCAGCAACACCACCACCAACGGGCTACCTTCCGAAGGCTGGCTGCACAGCTGGATCAGCCAGTGTCAAAGGAAGCGAGTTGGAGAAACATGGAGGAACTTCAAATGGAACATTCGCTTGGATGGTCTATTTGGGGGGTTGCCAGTTTTTGATCACAATCTATCTTGAACAGACATCTGTGGCTGAGACCTGTTATGCACATGGTGCTCAGGTTCCATCCAGTCCAAGTGAACCTGATCCAATGATGTGGTCAGAAGGAGTGAGATCCCTGGGAGACTACATGGCTGCCAAGGCGCTGCAAAGTCCATGACTCGACTTGATTTAGACCTCGCCGCATACTATGGGCGATCGATCAAAAACGAGAACTTGTGGTCCAAAGATGTTCACCGATATTACTAATTGTATCTAATTGTATTGTCCTCCCTAGAGCTGGAAATCAAACCACCGTTGGGGTGAACGTTGGTGAACGGCCGATGTGGATGACATCGGCCGATCGAATCACGTCCCCCTGCCCGGAAGCGTCGACCACGTCATGTGTCGCTAGGCGATGGGCAACCTGCCGGAGGAGATGCGACGCATTCCGACGCCCATGACGATGTTTTCAGCTCCAACCACCTTCTTTGACGTGAGCACCGAGAAGGCTTGGGAAAGATCAATGAAATAGGGTGCTGAGATGCTGCAGCTCATGGAGTTTAGATCAAGACCCCCAAAGTGTGGCGATTCAGCGACATGACCAGCGATTGGCGACCAGAAGTTAAAAACAAGGAATCTTAGCGTAGCCCATCCCACTAGTCAATGGCCTTTGTGGTGCCCCAGTGCTTTTAGGTTTGGGATCGCAAAAGACGCCGCACTCAACTGACAGGATGGCTTGCAGCTCAAGCCCTTGCCGCCACTCAATGAAGAGGATCCATCGAAGGAGATAAATTTCGGGACATCTGAATGGGTCCAGGCCAGTTAGTCCTTGCAGGGCTAAGGTATGTGATAGGACAGCACAATATCAGGAAGGTGGCTGCCACGTTTTGTGCGCCTAAGCGTGGCCTCAAATGACAAGGACAACCAGCCTAATCTTCACCAGGTTCAAGCTGCTGGATTGGACCAATCGCATCCAAGAGTGTTACGAGAGAGAGAGAGAGAGAGAAAGACAGAAAGGAAGAGAGATGTGCCCGAGTTTCTGCCGGATCATAGGCCACAGAGGTCCATTCTTGTCCAGCTTTTAGCCGACGGAACCTCACGGCTCCTCACGGCTGACGCAGGATATGCCGGAGTATCCGACGGAGCCAGAGAAGCTGACGATAGGTTGGGGCCGCAGCGCGAGGGTCTTCCGATGCCAGGTCCGTGCAAACTGGTGCCAATGCAGCAATGTTCGCTACTAGGAGCAAAGGGCATCGCTACTGGGAGCAAGGGCCTTACTACTAGGAACAAGAAGCTAGTAGAAACAATAAGTAAATAGAACCATGATTTGCACACCAAGAAATCCTATTTGTGCTTTGCATGACGGCATGACATGGTGTCCCCTATCACATGACAAGCGGGTTTCATTCTATGAGATTTTAAGGAGTTCCATGGCTGAATTCTTGGAGGTAACAACATCTTTGCACCTAATTCTCTTGACCCAAAAAGAGACGGCTACTCAGTGGATTTGGATTATTTCGACCAAACCAGGCCCGGCCCCGGACCCTTCGGATCCTTGGGCGACCTAGCGAGGCGCCAACCGTCCAGGCTTGGTGGAGCCCGAGGCTGTGGAGCGCTGCCGTGATCGCTACACCGAGGAGTTGGATGGGCAGCTCCTGGAGGCGACGAGGCCATCCACATGCGGAGGGTGCAGGGTGGGGATACGGTGACGTCCAAGACTCCACTCTGCGAGACATGGGGTCTGTTATGGTCTGATAGATGTGAAGTGTTCGGTCAAGCTACAGTGCGGGTCGATGGGGGCCCTGGTTGCATGAACTTGGAACACATTCGCTCAATTCAACGATAGGAAAGAAGCAAGTGTCTCTAGCTTGCGCCTAAGCAGGGGTTCAATAATTGGACAGTTGTGAACGTGATCTTCAAGAGTATTGAGCAAGTCAGCAAGTCTTTTCGTTAAGATTGTTTGGGGACGATTATTGTCAAAAGCTTGAGGGATAGGGCAAACATTTCTGTTGCGGCTTCTGTCTTGCAAGGAGCCCTGTGCATCATATAGGCCTTATGGATCCCTATGGCCGACCCATTCATAGGCCCATGCCGGGTTCCGGCTTTGCGCAGCATCACAGCTTCATTTGATCGCTTGCAGGGCGATAGAGAGAGCCAATGCGGAGAAGAAGACACGGTTGCGGCAAGAGTTCTTTCAAATGCGTGAGCAGTACAATAATGAGGCCAGGCAGGGCAGAAGAGATCAGATATCGTTTTTTTCCTTCAGATGGGGCTGAATCAGATGTGCTCACAATTTACCACCCATTTACATTAACCAACATTAGTGTAAAGGCAGCTCCTTTGGGATGTCCCATTGATTTTGCGGAAGTGCTCAAAACATCTCAAAAATCTCTAGAATGATAGGGGACTGAGAAATAGCGATATCCGATAACCTATGTTTGTGAGTCACTACATGCCTTAAATTGTGGCCGTGTGGGATGCTTCAACAAAACCACTCCCCTATAATCATATGCCGAAGATTGGGGAGGCCATCGCTCTTAGGTTGGAGGCCATCGCTAGTAGGATGGGGCGTTCTTTCACCATCTTTCACTGAGTGTGTTGTGTCCTTGTGCTTGTGAGGGAAAGTCTAGCTGGAACACCCAACTCCTGTCAAACGATTGGGGACTCACTAAATTGCTATGCGAGAACTGGCCGTGTTGGTAATTTTGATCCTGGCTATCTCTATAATTGGAGAAAAAGAGTTCTAGCCTTGTCGAGAGGGTAGTAGGGAGACCTTGCAATGGGGCCTTCAAGTCACATCAACAGGAAATACAGGTACGCTGATGAACGGTGGGGCTGTTTGTAGAAGTTGCAGGCGCAGAGTGTCTGAAGTACAAAGGGCAGCTTTGTAAATGCCAGGTGGAAAATGAGCTCCTTGAACAAGCTCGAATTGTGGTGGAGAAGTATCATGACAGGTGCGGCACGAAGAGAATGCTGGGGGCTGGCAACAGCATTGTTCGAGCTACTTGAGTTTGAAAAGTCAATCAGCCGCGTTTGCAGGTGTTTTGCAAACTCGATTGGCTGATGGTGCATCATTCCCAGCATGTCCCAGCATGTCAGGCTTGCGGTCTTGCAGGAGGAGGCCGATCGTCAGCGGCGGCGCTTGGACAGAGAGGTGGGACATTTGCATGTAGCCGCATGTGTATTGATGTGCACATAATCTGTGCGTAGCATCATAATCTGGCGATGTGCATCTTCAACATTGTAAACGATGATTCATGAAACAATACGGTCTATCTCGGTAGTCTATCTCATCATCTACTTGAGACATCATATGATTGAAAAAGTGCAATAGCCGATGAGCCGCCTCATGTTCCACTAAGGCTGATACCTTACTGCAGGAATCGCAGCGCTACTACCATTTCAAGGCTGAACATTTGTGCAAGAAGTGCCTATAACATCAAAAAAAATAATGAATATAGAAATACTATATAAGTTATGGTCCTCGCAATTCTAATCGTTGATAAATTGTGTGTGAGATCTTGTCGTTTAGCATTGGTCTTGTCGTTGGAGAATCTGGGGGGTCTTTCTCCGAAGTCCTTGACAAGGCAATAAAATGCATTGACCCCAAACCTAGCATCATGTGATGGGCATCAAGAAGTAGCAAAGTAGTCCAGCTCATAGTACTCAAGTAGGGGCACGAGGTCGTGAAGTCCAAAACCCAGCACTGCTGCAATTCTTTTGAACAAAAAGAGAGCGGGTGTGCTCCAGAGAGCACACCCTAGCTCAAAATCTATCAAACACACTGTAAATACCACTCGCAATTCAAACAAAATGATATAACTGCTCTGAAACCTAGGCGAAACGCATATTTGTCTATCTTCATGTGCCAAATTTCTATGCAATGTGAATGTGTAAAATCAATGATAAGCAGCATTCGTTTGACTCGTCTTTGTTCAATATCAATAACTGCCTGGTAATGTGTGTTCATTTGTTCTCAATATCGGTCAAAGCTGTTTGGCTTTGAATCTTGAAAGGATTGATATCAAATATGCTGACTTCAGCTTCAACACTCTCCCCTCAGCAACTTCACCTTGATCCCAAAGGATCTTTCTATTGTTCCAAAAGATTTTATTGATTCTTTCTATTCTTCCAATCATGCTTTAATTTCGTTGATGTCCTTTTTTCCTTTGCAAAAAAAGCAATCCAAATAACACACATTCAATTTCTGTATGAATGTGGCTTTGGCAGGCATTTTGTCCAAACCAAGAGAAACAAGAACCATGACAAGGCAACCCCCAAAAGTACATATATATATATGCAATGACATAGAAATCAATCAACCTAGTCTAGCTAGCTCTTTACCTTCTTAGAAAGAGCTAAGCCAAACAAAACAACTTTACCAAGAAGAAGGCCTTGTGAAGAGTGAACCAGCCTTCCATTTTTGGTGCTCAATGTTAAGGCACATGTTTGAACGTGTAGAACACCTTAAGCAAGACAAATACAACCTGCTGGAGCAATAGAAATACTTATTGAGACATGACACCAAAAGAAATAATTTGTTTCCTGGATCGAAGTTAATTGATACTATTGTAACTTGGTCTAGTTCATTAGCTTCTTTTGTAATGTGTTCCTTTCATTGAATCTTAATGCTCTTACGAAGACAATTTAAAAAATCTTTGTGAAGGTTGAAGCGGTTTCTTTTGGTGCTCAACTTTAAATGCATTTGTGCATAATAGAAAAATTAGGCAAGACATACAAAACCCTACTGGAGCAATTGAAAAGCGTTTTGAGACTGCACCTCACAAAAACCTAAGTTTTGAGCTATTGTATTGCTTCAGTTGTTCAGACCAGGCTGGCAAAGGTTTAGGGGAAGTACCAAAAAATATACCAAAAAACACCAACACACAATGTTTGAGACAAAATGGAAGCAAAACAAAAATCAATCCACATCCTATAGTACCGTGATTTTGTCTCAAACATTGTTTTGTTGTGTAGTGTGTTTTGTTTAAACTTATTGATGTATTCTTTTTTCAACTGTAGTTTTTTTGGGTGTTTTTTTGTTTTTACGGTAGTTGGTTCTTTTGGTATTCCCTCTAAACCTTTGTCGCCTTGTCCGAACAATTGAAGCAAAACAACAGCTCAAATCTTTGTTTTTTTTGTGATGTGTTAGCCAAAAACCACTGTAAAACACTGTTTTTGCACATTTCCTGCAAGAAAAACATCTCTCAGGAGCACCCGTTCTGAAAAAAAAAGCAGGAGAGGCAGCAGAGGGGCCCCTTATGGCCGCTTCAAGGCCTCCTTTTTTCTCTCTCCTCACATGATCCGTGATGCGACTCTTTTCTCGTCCTTGGAACCTCCATTGCAACACATCCTGTATGTTTCTCGCCAGGCAGAAGCCAGGAGGCTGTTGGGCTCTACGGTTCCATTGACCTCCTCAATGCGAACAGGAAACACTGCTACAAGATTGAAAGACAAGATTTTGGGGTAAGATTGAAATTGTTTGTTCGATGTCTTCCACACTGCGGTGCAGGACCCGCCCAAATGCCACACTTTGACGCCACCGTTGTGCCCTTTCCCACTTTGCTGTCTCATTCGGCGCCCAACCTCCAAGATTTGCTCGATGGAGTCTGAATCCAAGCCAGCTCTCTCATGTCAATGTTTTGAAGTGCAACTTATACATTTGCCAAATCCAATGGACGGCAGTTGATTCGCAGTGTCTTCCAAACCGGTATTTTTTGTTGGTTTCCTTAGCACTCCTTGGCTTCTTTGCTCTGTTCTTTTCTGATCCAAATCGTGTCCAGGCGAAGACCGCCACCTGTGCTCCGCCCCCGCCGCCCCCGCCGCCGCCACGCCACCGGGACGGTCCACCTCCATCCAGCACAGCTGCAGCACGGTCGCCCTGCACGGCCGCAGCCAACATGGCCGTGCCAAGCGCGCCGGAAGTCCAAGCAGTGCCGGTGATGGCACCACTGCGCAGCCAATCCGTTGTCTCAGCTGGGGTGAGCCCGATGTCCAGGTGCGTAGGGCTGAACAAACTCTTTGTTCGTTGAATTTCCTATTGATGCACAAGGTAAAGTGTTTTGCAATCTTGTGTCCCCAGTTCGTGTGCATGTAAGGTGTTTCCACAATAATTGGTTGCAGGACAAAGGAGAGTGTTTAACAGTTTCACACAGTTGCCACATCACTTATCAACGGTTCCTTTTCGTTTCCCTGTGCAGAACCTGCGTGCAAGGAAAAACAGATCAACAATCGAAGCCAAAAAAAAATAACGACTTTCAGAGGTTCTCTGGCTTGGTGAGCCGTGGAGTTCAAGCTGCAAGTCCAGCAGGCTCCATGGATCTCGGGCTTGATTGGGTTGTAGGAACGCGGAAAACGGAGAGGTTGCTTACAAATCTTACAACGTTCATTATGAATCCCTGTCCAAAAGCCAACCAACTCAGCCAGAAACTGAAGTTGTCCACTTCGATGCCCCAAAACAGTCATCAGTTATCAGATTGGTCAGATGAATGTGACGGAAGAATTGGCCGGGACTTCCTCCTCGACAAACGTAGAAGGGAAAGATGGGAGAAACGAGCTCATAGGGCGAGGACTTGAAGTCTGGAAGAAGATTTTGTTTAATATGCCAGCAATAGGAAGATTGATTACCATCACATGTCCATGCCATGGCAAGGCTCCACCCTGTTTTTGGGTTTGTTGCACCGTGCAGTCCGCTCACCTGCAGCTCTCAGCATGGGGTGTAGGCCTCAGCTGATTGAAGCGAACGTTCAGGGCGGTAGAAGGTTTGTTGAGGTAGCCCAAAGAAGTCAAACCAGACGCGACCAAAGAGCGAGAGATGAACTTTGCCTCAGTCTTTGTCATGAAGGTTAGTTGCGATGAACTTGATCCTCCTCATGTATCAGAATGTATCATGTGCAATCAGAGGGTGTACACTGCATGGTGCTTGAGCCTATTGAATTATTGAGATTCTCTTGCGCAACTACGACGAGAGCTGTCACCCTTTGTTTGAAGCGCTTGGAAGAGCTTTTTGTACTGCAGTTGTTGAATGATGTTTAAGGTATCAAGAGTTTCTCAACGTTCTGCGGTATCCCTGTCGTATATTCCGTGGTTGGATCATTGCTGGGATTCCATTTGAGACTGCCCACCTTTGCCTCCTCTTAACACCTTGGGGAGTTTCAAGTAAAAACAAGTGCCGTGTCCAAGATGTTCAAAACATCCCCAAGGATTATCGGATTTTCATATATTCCTTGATCCTATACATCAAGTTTTCCCCATGTTCACCGACCTCCTCACTTTCATCACCCAGGTGGTCACCGCCTGAGACCCCACGGCCGACGGGGCCGACGGGGCCACGGCCGATGGTGAGCCGATCGCCCTTGGGAGACTTGCAGACACAGCCAGGCAGCGGTGATACGTCGGTCCCAGAGCTTGACTTGAAATTTCTTTAAACAGAAATAACCTATACAATGGGTGTATCTTTATTTTTGAACGTGTTCAGTTTATGTAGACAAACCCATATAAGCATCTTACACATCGTTTTTTGGTTTGTTCTAAAGGGAGTGTTCAGTGCAGAGCTGTCAAGAGCTGACTGACTACTTGTTGACAGCATCGGCTGCTTCGGCTTGTCAAGGCTGAGTCTTGCTGTGCGTATCCAATCAACAGGGGTAATTTTGAGGCGAAGCACAAAGCAAAACATGTAAAAGAACATTATATAAACAGAATTCAAAACCTTAACACGTGTGTTGTTGTTTTTCTAGTTGGAATAAGACCAGCATTGTTGCTATCAAGGTTTGAGGTGTGTGAACTTGCTCCTTCCGCATTGACCCGAAAAGATTTGGTTGTCTAGGCCTTACAGCTCAAGCAGCTCCAAAGCTGCTCCCTCCACGTGGAGTGAGTGGACAGTTCCCAGATTTGCTCTACCCGCAAGGCCAGAGGTGTTGATATTCAAGAAAATGCAGAGAGGATTGATGTACACTCCAGCAATTACTTTTGAAGCATGTTAAGCGCAAGTAGAGGACGAGGATGTCAAATTTTAGAGTCCTCGACGTTCACAAGGACGCGAAGATCCTACAAACAGGCGTCAACAGGTTTATTGGTGATCAGAAAGACTCGGTGACATGCCCACAAAAAGGACTCGAAGAGATGTACAGCGCACTTGCGCAGACTTTGCAGGAGAGATCATGGGCTTGGGCGGTCAATCACAGACTCTCGCCTATAAACAAGCTGACTGATGCGTCTTGCGTCACACAGGTGAAGGAGTCAAACTTTGGTGTTATTTTTGCCCCTGGAATGCGGGTGAAAAAGAAGCACACCCAAGGACAGCGTCTGAGATCGTGACTTCAGTAGTTTAAATTCCCAAGCATTTGCGTTCACCAGAGTGAAGTCAATCTCATCGTGAGTAGTTCTAGGCAGAACAAATTGCAACGTGTTACATTTTGTCACAAGCATCTCATCAGCTTGCATCAAATTGGGTGAACGGATCTCGCTGGGCGCCAACGAACTTCTTATGATTCGCAACTTTGCAGGTTGCAGCGAAAGGATCTCAATTTGGTGGACACCTATTGAAGCTAACCCTTCTTGCGCCGGAGAGATTGCCACCAAACTAATTTGGTCCCCGGTTCTAGGAAGAATCAGTATGAATCAGGAGTCTTTGGTTCTAGGTCCACCATATGACTGTAGGCTGCTCTGGGTGACTCAGCGAGAGTCACGGTGGCCGGCAAATGGCGGAGACTCTTTCTGTGCTGAATATCAGCACAAAGGAGTCAACGCCGAACGCGCGCCTAAGCGCCCCTGACCAAAGATTGTTGGGAGCCTTGTGGCGGCGAACACAGGCAATGGAGAAAAGGATCAATTGCTGCCATGCCATGGACCGGAATTGACGTTTTATGTTGAAAGGGAAATAAATATAATGAACATTTTTTGGAATTGATGGAATCTGATGGAACCGACTTTAATGTCCAACATAATTTGTTGTCATATCATTACATTGATGATATATTGCAGGAAAAGAATGATTTCTGAAACAAATGATTGATATGGGAAAAAAAAAAATATATATATATAAATAGACAATTTAATATATTTTTTCTTTTTACATATATTATATATAAATTCAAATAAATAATATTTGAATATATAAGAAATATATATATTTATATATATTATGAACAATTGTATTTAAGGGGAGTATGTTTATATAATGGCGGGTGTAATGGGAGGTGGTAGATAAAGAGGTTGGAATGAGATTTGTTGTTATTATTTTGTATGGTGGTTATTTTTATTGGTGCGATTTTTTTAAAATCTATTTATATAATATGTAATTTTTATATAAAATTGATATTAATTAATTTAATCGAAATAATATATATATAATTATAGAAATAATATATATTATTTTTTGATTTATATTTAAATATATTTTTTGATTTTATAATTAATTATTGATTTATATAATAATATCTCTATTGTAATAAAGATGGTTGGTTTTAAAATATAATATGGAATTGATTTGATTTAAATTAAATATTTTAGGGAATTAAAAATAATATATATTAAAATAAATAATTATTAATTAAAGGAAATTGAGAGGAATTTCCGTATTATAAATATTTGGATTATTTATTATATAATATAAAATTATGTATTGGACACTATTTAATATATATTATTTATTATCTAATTAATTCCAATTTTAAGAATTCTAGAGCAGGTAACACTAATTTTAAGAATTCTAGGCCCAATTAATTCCAATTTATGTGGTAGGCGCAACACTTTAAGAATCTCTATGGGTAGATTTCGTGGCAGGTGCAATGCAAAATACGTTTTCGAGAGATAGTAGATATACAAAAAATTATATTATTATTTTTTTTTAAATAGGAAGGGTGGCTCCGAAGCTGGCAAATTAAGCTTTGCAGAACGACGTGTGCGAGACGGTCTCGGGTTATGTTCGGATTATGATTCCATTATGATTAGAATTTTTAGATATTTCTTGAAGTGCAGATTTCCTGGCACACGCAACATTTTATGAACCTCCATGTGTAGATTCGGTGGCAGGCACAACATTTTATAAACCTCCATGTGCAGATGTCATGGCAGGTGTAGCATTTTCTGAACCTCTATATACAGATTGCGCGGCAGGCGCAATTATGAAATTGATAGCGGTCAGAGGGACGCATGCTTTTCACGCGAGTCGGGGGTCGCTTGAGCCATGCGATTGTATGACAATTACACCTGGCCTGCAATAATGGGAAAAGGCACTGCAATGCAAACATGTACATTCATGTAATGATCATGGTGTCACCTTCGTTTTCACACCCGTGTTCCTTTAACAGGGGTGATTGGAATTCCACGTTGCGTTGACCGGTCTTTATGAGGTGGTCGAATTGTTCAGCCTTCATGGCCTTTGTGAGGTCGTCTGCGACTATTGTCTTGGTCGAAATCCAGCGGATCTTCGGCGGGCAAGCTGTCTTTGTAGGTGGGATTTCCAACAGATTCACCGCCTTTCTCCAGACTTCTTGACGAAGATTGATGAAATCGATGGCCAGACGTTTTCGCTGACCTCGCCATTTGTGGTGTTCGTGAGGTGGTCGCTCAAGCTGCGGCAATCCGTCAGCCACAAGCTTTTGGTGGAGTCCATGGCCTTCGTGTAGCGCTCATTCTTGGGCGTCGTTGTGCCTTCGTTTTTGAATTCATAGATCACCTGTCTGACATGTTCAGACTCTTCGGAGCCAAATTGGAGACTCATTGTCTCTGCCTGGAGTGTGCTCCGACACACACGTCGGATGGTGTTGGAATGCCACTCAAGGAGGTAGACAGGGCCAATGCCAGTGGTGGCAAATGAGGGATTTGCCATGGCCAGGATGCGACCTAATTGGGACCTGTGACCGGCCATAATTCCTTCTCCGATCGCCTCGACATTGGCAGCGTGAGAAGCATCATTGATGCTCAGGAGGATGGCACTTTCAAATTCCATGGCTCGGCATAGAAAATGCCTTTGTCTCGCTCTTGTAGTGCGTGATATAGGAGCTTGTTTGTATCAATTAGATGCCTCACTTGAGTTGCTTGTTGTCAAGCTTGGAGCTGGTTGACCTGGAAATTCAGGTCTGGACGGCAGACTCTTGCCAACCAATTGAGGTTGCCCACAATTGACCTGAATTGGCTGCGTTGGCTGATCTCAGCCGGAGTGGCCATCTCGCCAAGATGTCGGCGTCGTTGTGGACTCAAGTAGATCGGTTTGATTCGATCGAGGACGCTGGGACAGGTGATGGCGATTCTATCTTTTCCTTGATGAATGATGCGTCCACAATATTTCAGCTCATCACTTTCCACCAGGCCAAACTTGAACTCAACTTGAACAACTTCCATCGTCTTTTGCATGGCCTCTGATCCGGCCCACAGTAAATCATCAACATGACAGCCCAGGAGTCCTGCGATTTGGCCTTATTCGCCAGGCAGGTAGTAGGCCAATGTCTCGAGTGAGATCGGCTTCAGGCCATTGCGGAGCAGGGTGTCATGGAGGGCTTTCCAAAATCCTCTGGGCGCATCTCTTGTCTCGTAGACGTTCTTCTTGGCCACAAGCAAGCTGCCGGGCTTCACTTCAACGTCCGGGATGTCTCCTTTTGGCAATGACATTGCCAGGACACGTGGGATGCCGGTGCCCTGCAGGAAGGCAGCATTGATGTCTCCGGCTCTGAGCCGGGTGCCAGTGGATGCCGCCAAGCTGATGATCATCTGGAAGGATCAGCTGAAATGTCGTGGGCGAATCGGTGCGGAGGTCATTGTTCTTCTCAAGATCTCCTCGCACAACAAGGCGATTCTTCCAGCGAGGCTCTTCGTGCTGTTCGGCCTTGTTCACATCTACCCATCGGGTAGATAGGATCATTGCTTCAGGGTGATCGGCCAATAATTTTTCCTCTTCATCAGGAGGGACAACGAAGACTGCATCGAACCGTTTCCAGTTGTTCCACTCCTTGCCTCTGGTGCCGTCCAGGGCTTTCCTCACTTCAGGATTGGCTCGATCATAGTTGATCTCTGCCCCGGCACCAACTTGTCGCTTCTTCTTGTTGAAGCGTTTTACCAACATACAATGGAGATGCCATTCTTCTTCATGCTTCAGCTGGCCAACGGCCAAGAGGCCTTCTTCAGAGCTTCTTGGTGCTGGAACATTCTGGGCTTCACGGACAGGTGAACCTGAGCGCTCTCTTCGTGATAGGCCTGGAGGTGGCCTGATGCTTGATGGATGTCCGTCAAAGGCATCGAGCTTCCGATGCATGGCTTGCTGCAGTGGTGTAGGCTCAGGTGCTGCTGCCTGAACTGGTGTATTGGGTACTGTTGCGGGGATCATCTCGATCTCTGGTTCGGTGGTTTGTCGTTTAGGAGCTGGTGCTGCTGGTTGTGGTAGCGGATGTGTTTCTTCTTCTTTAGGGATCATTGGTATATGATCTGGAGGTTCGGATGCAATATATTCCTCTCGAAGCGTTTCTTCTTCTTTAGGTGGTCCTTGGCCACCAGGTATTTCAATGCACCCAGGTTGTCCTTCATTTTTATCGCGAAGCCGGTAGTCGTTAGAGATGGATGTGTTCCCGGCCGCGTTCTTCTTCTTGGAGTGCCTCCCTCATGCGCTTTCTTGATGGACGTCGTTCCAAAAGTCGTTTGGTGAAGATCTCTGTATTTGAAGCTGGGCGCAATGAGGTTTCTGAGGCGACAACCGGGGACTCCAGCATGGATCAGCCAAAGAGTGGCCCTTCCTTCTCTTCCAATGACACGAGCCGGGCCGCACCATCGTCCACGTCGATGGAAGCACACGAGGTTGCCAGGGACATAGTTCGTGCGGACCGGTGTGCTGATCTGATTCGTCGGCTGGAGTTAACCTTGTTGAATGCCATCTTGGCTGCCTGTCGGATCTGCAGGCGAAGGGCAAAGGTGTCTTTAGACTCTTCGTACAGGTTTGTTTGAAACAAATAGCGTCATGTCAATGTAAGAATCCTGTCCGAATTCCATTGAAAGACACGGGATTTTAGTCGCAACTGGTGGGCGCGTTTTTCTGGAACTGTCTTAGGATTCACCTCAGAAATTTGGAGACTCAATTTGCGCAACCTTTTGAATCGTGCGGGGGTATGGAAACACCTAAACCCTATAAGTGACCTTCGAGATATTTCAATGACGTTCCAAAAGAATTGATGCAAAACACAAAGACTCACGAACGAAGTTCTCTCTCGAGAATCGAGAGGATCCAGCTTGAATTCGAATTTGCTAGGTGACACTTTCCTTTTTGGTCTATGGCCTTTTGACGCTAACTAAGAATGTTTCTCTTCTGTTCCTTTTTGGTGCTTTAGCAGAAGGAGTCGGTGTGTTCGTTTATGAGTGAGAACAATTTATTTGCAAAC